GGGGCCCACCCAGGGACCTGAGGCATGGAGAAGGGGATCGGACTCCCCTCCCACAACCAGACACACTGCACCAGCGCCTCGTGGCCCACCTGGGGACCAGAGGTATGGAGCCAGGGACCAGACCCACCCCACAACCAGGCACATCGCAAGCACCAAGGAGCATGCCAAAAACATCACCTCCATGTGGGTGGCCCACCACAGACACCGCAATAACCATAGTTGCCGCTAAACCACCACACAGATGGTCACCAACCACTGGAGTGCATTAACACAAGGAGAGTCACCAGCAGAGAAAAGAAGAGGATGTCTCTCTCCACCATTTCAGAGTGACAGAAGAAGCATCTGCTCTGCGATAATATTGGGGGACCTGATCACACCTCTCAGCATTGGACAGATCATCTAGGCAACAAATCACCAGAGTAACCATTATTCTTTCAGGAGAGAAGGAATCTAGGGTACTTAGAGGGTGGAGAGGGAAGGGAGAGGGGTATGGGGCGAGATTGGACAAGGAGCATAAAGAATAATTACAATTTGTAACAATATATATGCTAATAATATCGATTTGATCAACATATCTCAGTGTTGCGCCCCCCAAATATGTATAATCAATTTTGATTCAATAAATAAAATAAAGTAATATAAAAAAATTAAAAAGCTGAATTTATATCTATAAGTTTTCCCACTAGATTTTTTTTTTAAATCTTGTTTAGATAAATCTTATTAATAAAAATACAGTCATTGTAAAAACAAAAAAAAATGCAGCAAGTATAGAGGAAAGTTAAAATCGTTTATAATCTCACACAGAAACAGGTACACAACTACTGTTAACATTTTGTAGTTCTTGTGGGCCGGCCTGGTGGCGCACTGCTACAGTGCGCCGCTTGGGAGCGCGGCGGCACTCCCGATGCTTTACTTTCACTGGCTCATTGATTCTGGTTTTTTTTTTTAATTTTATTTCACATATCCTTTGAAAGTATGGTTTTTTACTGACAGCATAATATTTCCATTTTATAAATGTGCCATTATTTATTTAACAGTAAAGGCAAATTTGAGATTCCTTTCTATCAGGAAGGTATAGAGCAGTTCCACTTATTTTTTTATGTAGCCAAAATTAAAAAGTATAATAGTGTGCCTTAGAGGAATGAAAAAGGCTTAGAAGACCCAGGCGAGTAAAATTCTCTTTTTTTTTTTTCTCACCCCAACTTTGATGAACTATCTTAACTATTTCCTCTTTCCTTAATACTTCAGATATTATTTATTACAGAAGTTAGGAAAGCTTTGTTTTAACAAACCATAGAGCTGGAAAGAGTTTTGGAATCATTTGACTGACTTTTTTTTTTTTTTTTTTTTTTAGGGTTTTTTTTTTTTTTTTTTTAAGGTAGGGGAATGCTAGAAAAGTTAAGTCAGTATCTTAAGGTTACACACTTGGTTGATGGCAAAATTGATACTGGAATCTTGGACTCCTGCTACCAAGCATGCTCTTTTTATTAAAGCATGGGTCATCCCTTTTTTAATAAGGTGATGAGAATAGATGCAGTAACTTCTCTAACTGATAAAAAACAAGGATGACAAAAGATAATTTAAAAAATCTCAAGCTAGTTGGTTTTAAGACTCAACTTACTTAAATTTCCATAAGCAAAGTTGTTGAATTTTTAAAACACACCTTACAAATTTAGTGGCATGTGTATAATTTCAGATCACATTGCATTTTTTAATTTTCTTGAAAAGTGCTGAATGCCATTTTTGCTTGGTTGATAAACCATGGTTTTGGCAGAGATAGGAAAGTATGATTCTAGTCTCAGAGAACCATATCTCAAAAGCTATAAATCTTCACTCTTCCAACCAAAAATTATATAATAATAAAACTAAAACAAGATCAGGATTTAAATACGTTTTGCCTTTGGGTTTGGATTAAGGAGGTATTGAAATCGGATTAGTACTAACGAAGAAATCCATTAATTTTACCTCATAGAAATTTCAGATGCTGTCATTGAAACAGGTATAAGGTTACAAGCTAGTTTAATACTTAAAAAGAATTAAATGTTAAAATATTCTTCCTAGGCAGTTAACACTAGGTCATGCATGAGTAGGGTAATTATACATACACACACAGCAGCAATTAGACTGGTTTGGAGAGAATTAAACGTTAAAATATTCTTCCTAGGCAGTTAACACTTGGTCATGCATGAGTAGGGTAATTATACATACACACACAGCAGCAATTAGACTGGTTTGGAGACTAAAGAGAAACAAGGGAACAACCTTTGCTTTTTTCTTTTTTTCTTTTTATATTCTGGCAATCAGTACATTACTTTTTAAACTGTGTTTACATTATTTTGTAGTTCCATAGAAGATACCCCATGCACAGTGGGGAATAGAGGGGAAATTCCAAGTATTTTCCCATTTATTTAAATCCCTTTTTTATGCCCATTAGCTGAGCTCACAGATTGTTCAATATGATTTTGACCAAGACTCTGTCACCCACTCTATGAAGTCTATCCCATGTCCTCTGTCTCCCCAAACCTAAACTTTTTTTTTTTTTTTTTTATATAAAAACAGGGCGATGTACTGACGTACCTTTTAAAAGGATGTGGATAACATAATATTTGCTCCTTGGTGTTGTTTTTATATATGCTTTTATCTTCTTGCAATTGAATTATTCCTGCATCTCTCTACCTCTGTTTTTAAAGGGGCAAAGCCTGTTTTTCTAACACTGTGAAACTGTTGAAAAACTAAATATCAGAAGTGTAACAGACTTTTTAATGGAAGAGGCAGGAATTTAAGTGATGAAAGAGAAATGATGAGGGAATTGAAACACCCTTAGTACAATTTGCAGGGCTGAGTGGTGTGACCAAACAACAAGCACATTGTGTGAGAGAAGATGGTTAGAGGTGATAAGAGCTATACTGTGTGCCCTTAAAATGCAGAATACATTTTGAACAGAGTTTATTTCTGTTTTCACTCATTACTTGGTAGGGAGGTATATACTTCCTTCTGTTATTGATACTAATAGAACCTTTTTAAGAGACCTGGTATTATTTTCACTACCTTAAATATACCAAAATTTAAAAACGTAGACTGTTGTCTTTGGAAATATAGAATTAATCTTTATTTCACAATACAATGCTTTATTCATTGTAACAAACTTAAATGGTTCACATACATGAGATGTTTTTCATTTTGATTTACTAAATCCACAGGAGATTTTTTGGTGAGCCATAGAGTAAAACTTCTAGGATTTTACTGTACCTTGACTGAAAAGAAAAATACAGACTTAATTTTAATCTTTTAATAATGTCATAGTTAATAGTAAGAGCTGTGGAATTAGATATACATGAGTTTGAATCAGAATTACCTGAGCCTTAGTTCTTCTGTGAAATTGGGATAATATCCAATTCATCCAGTTTATAAGAATTAAATGAGATAATTTATGTTAAATGCTCAGTGTTTATTGTAATTACTGATAGTATTGCCCTAGATTAGTAGAACAATTTACACTTTAACCTGTTGCAAAATTTGGTCAGTGCTGAGAATGGAAGTCATTTCTCCATCACTCACACATCTGTCTTTTGCATATATTATATGATATAAATATAATTGCAACCACCACTCCCCTCCTCCTCAAAAGGAAGAAATTGGTTGCAAACTGAAGAGTTTATGGACATATATTAACATGCTATCTCCTAAAATACTGGGGCTTTCCTCTGGCAGTGCTCATGGGGTCTTCTCTTTTGTGCTGCAATGAAACCAGCTTCTTATATTGAACGTTCTTGACTGAGTAGGGTGCAAAAGATACTACCCTTATATTAAATTCATTCAGTTCATAGGGGGAGTTTCACAGGCAACTTTGTCTCATTTTCTGGCTTTGTTTTCTAATTTGTTGCATGTACATTGTCACTTTTGGAAGACATAAATTCAACCAGTTTTGTTTTTTAACTTTTGAGAAAAGATTAGAGAAACAGAATTTTTTAATTTGGAGAAAAAAGCTACACCTAAACTTACCCAACTTTCTGGAGTGGCATACAGCTGTAGTTAATCCTAGATACAAAATAAATGGGACTTCTTAAAATGTCAACCTTTTGACTCATTAGTTAAATGGTCTGAGCACAGAAGTGATTTGCGGTGCAGGATGGGGGATAATAGAGACTCATCCAAGCAGATATCTTTGTCTATCATCTCCTCAGACTCCTCCTGTCAGTGCAGAGTTAGTGTTCCACTGATTCCTACAAACAATGTTACTTTGTAATTCTAGGTGGGGCAGCAGTATTATCATTTTAGTGTGCAGTTTTCATTTTTATATAACTTCTTAATGACTTTAGTTTGTCAAATATTCTCATAGGTTTTTAATTGTTTCTTTTTTTGATAATGTTTACTGCCATAATGTGTGTTGTCATCAATATCATTTTAGACTATAACTAATGAAATACAGTTTCTGTAAGCAGTGATGCAGTTCATTTAAAAATAACCAGGGTAGGGTTGGCTGGTTATTTCAGTTGGTAAGAGCATGGTGCTGTAACACCAAAGTCAAGGGTCCAGATCTGCATAGTGGCCAACTGTCACAAGAACAGAAAAAAGAAACCAAACAGACAAAACTGAAATAACCAGGATGATGCAGTATGTTCAAGGTAGTACAAAAGACCAGAAGTTAAAGGAGCAGTCTATGAAAAGTTTGACAGTAATAATAATAATACGAAAGTAATGTTCTTCCAGTTTGTGCTGTACTGTTAGAAAAGTACATTTTATATCTTTTGTCAATTAATCCCTAGGAAAGAACTATATGTGTGCTACTGTTATCATTTTGCAGATTAAGATACTGGAGCACACAGGTTAAATAGAGGAGTTTGATGCAGATGAATGGAATAGAATTGAGAATCCAGAAATAAACCCATACATTTATTATCCATTGATTTACAACAAATGGTGCTGGGACAGCAAGATAGCAACCTACAGAAGAATGAAGTTGGGCCCTATCCTCACAACATATACAAAAATTAACAGGAGATGGATGAAAGTTCTAAATGTAAGAACTAAAATAATAACTCTTAGAAGAAAACATAGGTATAAATCTTCACAGCCTTATGAAGCCTTAGATTTGGCAGTGATTTCTTAGATATGGCGCCAAAAGCATGAACAACAAAAGAAAAAATAAATTGAATTTCATAAAAATTATGAATGTTTACTTATGAAGCCTTAGATTTGGCAGTAATTTCTTAGATATGACGCCAAAAGCATGAACAACAAAAGAAAAAATAAATTGAATTTCATAAAAATTATGAATGTTTGCACATCAAAGGACACTGTAAAGAAAGTGAAAAGACACCCCAAAGAATGAGAAAAAATATTTGTAAATCATCTATCTGATAAAGATCTGGTATCCAGAATATATGAAGAACTCTTACAAGTCAACAACAAAAAGATAATTCAGTTTAAAAATGGGCAAAGGATCTGAATAGACATTTCTACATAGGATAGATCTGGTATCCAGAATATATGAAGAACTCTTACAAGTCAACAGCAAAAAGATAATTCAGTTTAAAAATGGGCAAAGGATCTGAATAGACATTTCTACATAGGATATACAAATAGCCAACAAGCACATGAAAAGATACTCAACATCATTAGTTATAAGAAAAATGCAAATCAAAACCAAATTGACATACCACTTCGCACTCACTAGGATGGATTTTTTTTTAAAGAAGGAAAATAACTAAATGGTATCACTGTGGAAAACAGTTTGGCGGTTTCTCAAGAAATTAAATATGGAATTTACCATACAACCCTGCAATTCCACTCCTGGCAGCACATTCAAAATTGGAAATATATTGAAACATGAACTTGTGCATGAATGTTTATAGCAGCAGTGTTCATAATAGCCAAAAAGTGCAAACAGTCCAAATGTCTGTCAGCTTATAAATGGATAAACAAATGCAGTATAGTCATACAATGGTGCATGAATGTTTATAGCAGCAGTGTTCATAATAGCCAAAAAGTGGAAACAGTCCAAATGTCTGTCAGCTTATAAATGGATAAACAAATGCAGTATAGTCATACAATGGATTATTATTCAGCCATAAAAAGGAATGAAGTACTGATACATACTACAACATAGATGAACCTTTAAAACTTGCTAAATGAAGGAAGCCAGACACAAAAAGCCACATATTGCATGATTCCATATATATGAAACTCATAAGGAAATCACAGAGAAAGATAGGAAGAAGTGAGGGGAAAAGGGGAATGAGGACTGTTTGCTTAATGGGCATAAAGTTTCCTTTTGTGATGGTGAAAAAGTCTAGAACTAGAAAGTTGTGGTGATTGCATACATTGTGAATATACTACATGTCGCTAATGATACATATTATGTATATTTTACCACTATAAAAAGAGTTTGTTAATAGTGGGATAGAGGCTTGATGGAATGAATTAGTAAGGGAGGTCAGCACTACAAGCAAAAATTAGGGCAGAAATGGCACCTGGATAATTAGATTAGCTAAGAGGACAGTTGCCAAAAGGGACTAAAGTTTTGGCCACCAACAAAGTACAGAGGTAAATATGCTTTGTCTTCCAGGTGGTATTAGAAGCCTAATGAGGTTAGCAAACTGGATCCTCTGCTGAGTTAAAGCACATATTATTTAGAAGGTCTGAAACAGCACTGTTAAATAGAACTTTTTGCAGTGGTGTAAGTGTTCTATGTCTGTGCTATCCAAGTATAGTAGCCTGTAGCTACATGTGGCTGTTGAACATTTGAACTGGTGATAGTGGACCTGAGGAACTAAAGTTTTAATTTAGTATAATTAAGTTAGGTAACCACATATGGCTAGTGTCTGCTAGCTACTGTACTGGAGAGCAGACATAGAAAATTTCTGTTATCACATAAAATTTCCTAGGACTGTGCTGTGTTGGACATTGTACGTCTAGAATTTCCAGAAATGTTTCCCTTTTCCAATCCAATCCATAGGGAGAGAATTAACTGGACAGGCGTTAACTTGCTGCCAATTCAGACTCGCTTTACATTGAGTAAATTGGGGAACTATATCAGTCCATTTCTGTTGCTGATAACTGAATACATGAAACTTGGTAGTTTATAAAGAAATGAAATATATTTCTTACAGTTTTGTAGGCTGGGAAGTCTACGGTCCAGGGGCACATCTGGTGAGGGCCGCCTTCTAGGCGGAACTCTGTACAGGGTCCCATGGTGACCAGGGTATCGTATGGCGAGAATTGGCATGAGCAAGAGAGCTAACCTTCTCTCTTGCTCTCTTTTTTGGGGGGAGGAAAGGAGGGGACAGTTGGCTGGTGCAGGGATCACTTGCTGTCCTTTTAAAGCCACCATTCCATACTGGTGATAAGTCATTAGTCCATTCATGAGGCCACAGTCCTCACCATCCAATCACCTCTCAAAAGCCATACCTTTCAAATACGTTATTGGATTTCCCATCCTCTTAACACTGTTAGCATGGGCATCAAGTTTCTAACAGATGAACTTTTGGGGGACACATTTGACTGATAGCAGGAACTATGAGAGAACAGAGAAGGTGAACCTTAAGGGAGAAGGGAGAAACTAGACAACATGTTTTAGAGTCATCTCAAGAAACTTTTCCTCAAAACTTCTAGTGTAACAAACTGATTTTGCTTCCTACAATTGTAGTAGGAAAAAATAGATATGTTTTGGGCACAATTTACATAAGGTATATAATTTTTTGGTATTGTACCTGTGTTTTATTTACAGAGGTAAAGAACTCAGAAGAACAGTATAATAAAATAGTAATTCCCAATGAAGAAAGTGTAGTCATCTATTATAAGATTAGACAGCAGCTTGCCAAACTGGGTAAAGAAATTGAAGAATATATTCACAAACCAAAATACTGCTTACCATTTCTACAGCCAGGTCGTTTGGTAAAGGTATGTCATTGTTTCTTCATAAAATATTTGAATATTTCAGAATTTTAAAATATTTTGGATAAAGATTCTAATTATTTTTCTTATCTTGGTAAATGCTTCCTGCTGAAAACAGTTGATCTATGTTAATTATTTTACCTGTTTTCACATGGCACCAATTTTGGGACTTAAGTGAAAGCCTTTTAAAACACCACTGGTTTTCATTTTGGGGAATATAAATAGAAGTAGATAGGTTTGGAATTAGTGTTTCATAACTGGAAATATTTTATATGTTATCTAAAAACAAGGCAGTTTTAAGTCTGGGATTGAATTCACTGGATATGAAAGTCTCAGAACAAATTTACTGTCTCATTTTTAGCATTTGTTTGCCCATTGAGAGGTTCCTATTATTGCTATTGTGGGGGTGTATGAAACTTGACGCTGGTTTTTTTCTGTGGGGTTAATATCTTGTTCCTTGTTCCTTTAGCAGTGATCTTTCAAAAAAAATTTTATCTGGAAAATTCAAAAGTTCTATTAGTCTATAATGTGGGTATGAAAGTCTAAAATTGCCTTTTAGATATAAACATTATTCTTGTTTATTTGCTTTACTTTCTTCTCAGGTAAAGAATGAAGGAGATGACTTTGGCTGGGGAGTAGTGGTGAATTTTTCAAAAAAGTCAAATGTTAAGGTAAGCTGTTGTCCTTGAATTAGAATTGTATATAGGGGCCGGCCCGGTGGCGCACTCAGTAGAGTGTGGCGCTTGGGAGTGCGGCGGCGCTCCTGCCGAGGGTTCGGATCCCATATAGAGACTGGTCCGCTCACTGGTTGAGTGCGGTGTGGGTGCGACACCGAGGGTTGCGATCCCGTTGCCAGTCGCGGTATGGGCGCGACACCGAGGGTTGCGATCCCATTACCGGTCACAAAAAAAAAAGACAAAAAGGAAAAAAAAAAGAATTGTATATAAATTTTTAGTGAAATGTTTTTTCAGATTCATGAAATTGGTCTAAGTAGAAATAGAATTACCTTAAGAGAAGGGCTAATAAATTCTGCCATAAGGAATTAATTCTTTGAATAACCTTAAATTTTGTCTTTTTTTTTTTTTTTTGTCTTTTGTCTTTTTCCGTGTCCAGCCACGGATCGCAACCCTAAGTGTTGCCCCCATACCGGACCGGGGACCGGCAACGGGATCGCAACCCTCGGTGTCGCCCCCGCGCCTCGCTCAGCCAGTGAGCGGGAACCGGTCTGTATGTGGGATCCAAACCCTCGGGCGGGAGCGCCGCCGCGCTTCCCAAGCGGCACACTATCCAGTGTGCCACCGGGCCGGCCTAAATTTTGTCTTTAAAAGATATATGGTTATTTTCCTAACAAAAACAAAAAGTTTTAATTTCATGACAATTTACATTTCTTCTCTGAGTTTCGTCAGTCTTTTTTATGATTTTAGTCTTTAAATTGAATATTAGGAAAAATCAGCTTCTCACACTGACAATTAGAATTTCAATTAGGTATTTGTTAGAGACACAAAGAAAAGAAATTGAGAGCTGTTTAGTTTTGCTTATTCTGTCTAAGTGGAGGCAATGATAAAGTTGATTTTGGTCATTATTTATATAAATATTTTGAAAAGATTACTTATATATAAAATCAAAGATGATCTTGTTAATTTGTTAGAAGAGTAACTATCTTGAAATTAAGCCATCCTGCCTATTATATTTTCTTTAGCTGCAGTAGGCACCATCCTGTTATCTGCCAGTAAGTAACCTCCTCCAAGACATTTTGTGTCTTCATGCCTATATTTCCTTATCTTTTAAATGTAAAAGTTCTTTTAAGATAGATTTTATGATTTTTGGTCTTTAACTTTTTCATCCCACCTATGTGTAGAGGCAGTTAGGAACTAAGCTTTGGGATTGAAAGTTAGTCCTGAAATATATAAGTGACCTTTGAGATATTGAATCCATTTGTTGTGGAGAAAAAATTAAGGTCTTAGGTTTGTGATGGGTGTTTTGATTTATGATCTTTGATTGATCTCACTGAGGAACTTCTTAAGGATATTTAGTTTGGTACTGCCATTTTGATGAATTATTAACTTAGTAATTTTTAATTTATACGATTTTTTTTGAACTATTATCAAACTCATTATCTCATTTTATTCCAATTTATCAAACATTCATTGACCATAGACACAAAATTCTTGTGCTCACTTGTTGGAAACAGTGGCAAGCAGATAATGAAAATATAAGGCAGAATGTGATAAATACTTTAGTAAAGATATAGGCACAGTGCATTTGGAACAGAGAGGAGGAAGAAATTAGTTATGTATGAACTAGTGGAGATGGCATCTGAGAAGGAAGAGAATATTTAAAATTTTAAAGGGAACCTTGAAGTAGAGTTTCATTTGATGGGTATACATTGGTGGAGGAGCAGTGGTGTGCAGCAGTTCCAGAACATTTCAGGTTAATGGAAGGAATAACATCAAAAAAGGTATTAGGGATAATCATGGAAAGTGCTTAAAATGTAGGTCTGAAGTATATTGGGGCTAGATTTAAACATGTAAAAGCAATGACAGGCTTTTGAAGGTTAGTTGGTTGGTTGGTTGATTGATTTACTTGGGTTTATTTTTGTTTGGTGAGTTGGTTTTTTAACCTGCTCAGATTTTTGAGCTGGTGGTTGACATTAGAAGTTCCCCTGGTAAAAGTGTTTGAAAGATATTGGAAGGAAATAGTTGAAGGTTAGTTGGTTGGTTGGTTGGTTGATTCACTTGGGTTTATTTTTGTTTGATGAGTTGGTTTTTTAACCTGCTCAGATTTTTGTGCTGGTGGTTGACATTAGAAGTTCCCCTGGTAAAAGTGTTTGAAAGATATTGGAAGGAAATAGCATACATGCATTTATTTAACCCTTGATGGAAAAGTTAGCATGCCTTTGCCAGTTTACTCATTCTACAACTTGTCCATATTTAAGAGAATATTGGTAGGGCAGAATATTCTTACTTTCATTGTACTGTAATGCTGTAGATTCTTTTCACTATAAGTTTTACTTTTTTGTTTCTTTGTTTAAGCAGTTTTGAGACATTATTCACGTAATGTGCAGCTTACCAATTTAAAGTGTATAATTTGGTGACTTTTAGTATATTCACAGATATGTACAGCCATCTGGTAGGTATTGTATTGAATCTATACATGAATTTGGAGCGTATTGCCTTTTTTGGGTTGCTTAATCCATTCACATTTAACTTTATTATTGACAATAGTTGTTTTTATGTCTGCCATGTAAATTTTTGTTCTCTGGGTCTTTTTTTGTTTTTCTTTTCTTTCCTTACTGGTTTCTTTGCATTAAGTGAATATTTTCAAATGTGGCATTTCAGTTTTTTTAACTATTTTTTCAGTATATATACTTTATGTTATTTTTTTAGTGGTTGCTAAAGCTTTCCATATACATATTAAGTTACCAGATAAGTTTTAGATTTAAACTGACTTAATTCCAGTGAGATATAGAAACATTATTCCTATATGTCTCTATGCCATTTTCCTTCTTTTTGTGGTATTGTTATGCATATTACATCTGTAAATGTTATAAACCCAATAATACATTGTTATAATTATTACTTTATATAATTTGGTGACTTCTAAAGAAATTTAGAGAAAAAAGGAGAGCAAGTATGCATCTTATTTATCATTTTGGGTTTTCTTTATTTCTACCTATGGATTCAAGTTATTGTCTTAGTTATTGCCTTAGCCCAGTACAGCTTTACTTCCACCCCCTTCTTTGTGCTGTTATTGCCAAATATACTATATTTCAAAATGTTACTGGCTTAAGAATACAGTGTATACTTAGGAGAAAAAGAAATATTCATTTATTTCTGTCTTTTGTAATTACATAATTACCTTTACCAGTGTTCTTTGCTTTTTTGTGTGGACTTAAGTAAATGTCTGGTGTCACTTGCTTTCAGCCCAAAGAACTTCCTTTAGTATTTCTTGTAAGATTCTCTTTTTGTTTATCTGAGGATATCTTAATTTTGCCTTCGTTTTTGAAAAATAACTTTACTGGAAATAGGATTCTTAGTTAACAGGTTTTTCTTTTTTTTTCTTTGACTATGCCAACCCATTGCTTTCCAGGCTTCATTGTTTCTGCTGGGAAGTTTCTGCTGTTAATCTTGTTGGTGTCCCCTTGTAAGAGATGAGTCTTTTTCTTGCTGTTTTCAAGATTTTCTCCTTGCAGTTTGGCTTTCTGCATTTTTGCTGTGATAAACATATCTGTATAAAGTTGTCTGTAATCTTTGCATTTATTCTTCTTGGAGTTCATTGAGTTTTCTGGATGTGTAGATTACTTTTTTTCAGTAAATTTAGGAAGTTCTCAGCTATTATGTCTCTTGAGGATTTTTCCACTCTCTTCTCTGTTCCTCTGGAATTCCCATTATGGATATGTTGTGCTTATTGATATCTCATATTTCTCTAAGGCTCAGTTCACTTCTCTTCATTCTTTCTCTTTGTTCTTTGAATTGCATTATCTTTATCAGTCTATTGTCAAGTCTGCTAACGTTTTCGTCTACCAGTTTAGATCTACTGTTGGGCCCCTCTGGTTATTTCTGTCATTTTACTTACTATATTTTTGAACTCAGAATTTCCTTACATTCTCTGTTATAGTTTCTATCTCTTTATAGTCTCTATTTGATATAACATTGTTATCTTACCTTCCTTTATTTACTTCTATAATTATGATTTTTTTTCAGTCCTTTCTATGTATTTTAATGGCTACTTTTAAGTCTCTGTTTAATACAATATCTTGGTTACTTTGACAGGCAGTTTTTGTTGCATGTTTTTTCTGGTATATGGGTCATAATTCCTACTTTCCTGTTTCCTTGCATGTCTCGTTTTTTATCATTGGAAATTGGGCATTTTAGATAATATAGTAATTCTGGGTTTTTCCTCCATCCCCCCTTGCAGGTTATTGTTGTTATTTGCTTGTTTATTTGTTTATTGACTAGCTAGATTATTTGAGTGAAATCTATTCTGCCCCACTCACCATCCCCCAACCCCCAGAACCCAGTGTTAAGCCTTTTATTTTGTTCCTGGGGTTGGAGTGTGGGTGACACAGCCTTCGATATGCCCACAAACACCTTGGGTTGGCAATGCTTTTGGCAGGGGTCTTTTTGACTACAGTTTTCGCTATACATACTCAACAGTTAAGCTGTACTAGCAGAAGGACTGCTCCCAGCTATCTTCCTTACAAAACAAAAACAAAAAAAAAACGGGTTCTCTCTCCCGCAAACTAGCTGGCCTACAATTTAACGTGTATCTCTAGTGAATCTACAAAATCTACCAATAACTGTCTTTCTCCACAACCCCCACTGTTTTTGAGAATTCCTGTAGGCTCGAACAAGAAAATATTCAGAGCTATCTAATTTAAGGCCTGCTTCTCCCTCCAGGCAAAATCTGAGCCAAAATTCTAAAGCTGAGAGTGGGGACAATGGCAAAATTTTCTCTTATGGCACCCTTGCTTTTGGAGCTGAGGGCTAGATGGAGGATGGGGTGGTAGCCTCAGGTCTTTTCAGGTTGCCTCTCCCAGCATGGAACTAGTGCCTTATTAAGTCAGGGGAAGGGCTATTGATGCCCTTATTCCCATCAGTGCCACACCTAAAATAGAGCCTCTGGCTAACCATTGGAGGCTGGGCAGAAGAAGTGAGCCCTTACCTCTCATCTTCACAAGCCCAGAATTTAGCCTAAGTAACAGGTAGGTGGGAGCAGGATAAGAAATGCTGTCATCCTGCCCTTCCTGGAAAGCGAGCCCAGCTGAGAGTTGCAGGAAAGCAAAGCCTTCCTGTAATTTTGGCTTCACCAGTCTGAAGTTTGTTTCTTTTTTTTTTTTTTTAAACTGCTGCTGGCCAGTAAGGGGGTCCAAACCCTGACCTTGTTGTGGTATCATGCTCTAACTAGCTGTGGTAATTGCCCAGCCCTGAAGTTTCTGCCTTGATGAGCTGGGAGGAGTGAGAGAGGGACTGGCCTTGGTTCAGATATCACAGACTTTTGCTGTTCTTACTGAATTTTAGTGGATTTTTTTGACTAGATGTTTCTTCATTTGATATTCCCTTAGGATCATTTCCACAGACTTTAAATGGTTGGTGTTCTCATAATATTCTCCACTTTTTTCATAATACGCTCCACTAGGGAGCAGGTTTGAGGAGCCCCTCATGTTGTGATGCCAGTAGTCAATCTAAGGTTTTACATTTTCAGGAGAGAAAAATTATAGCTAATATAATTACATTTATGTCACATGCACACACTAAACTTTTTAAAAATTATTTTCCTCTGATGATCTTTAATTCATGTATAAAAGGAACTAGTTGATGACAGTTCATGAAATGAGGACTAGAGAGGAGCACATTCATTTTTTTCTGTTTAAATTGATGATGAACCTGATTTTTCCATTGAGCTACTTGCATTTGTTCACTAAAAATGTGAAGTATGTTTTATTAACTTTGTAATCTAGGTGAGAATACTAACCCAAAATGTTTGTAGCCAGTAGTGTTTGCCAGAGGTGGAGGGAGAAAACACTTAGAAAGAATTCTAAGACATAAAAATGCCCTTGTGAATATTTATTTCATATTGTTTATTTCTTTAATTCTACAAGTTTGGGATTATCAAAATTGTGTTTAATTTGGTGATTTCCATTTATAATGAGAAATTAGCCACATTTTAAAATGAATAAAGAGAAGTTAGTGAAAAGAAAATTCATTTATATGATTAAGAAATAAAAATTCAGATATGAACAAAAATTTAAAGAATTTAAGATAAAACAATTATTGGAAAGCTAAATAAAAGTTATTTTCGCTTATGTGACAGATTATAATCCATCTTTATAGAGTACAGAACTAAAATAAATTAGCTGAAAAAAATTTATAATCTCAGTTTTTTTTTTTTGGTCCACTGAGGCATCTTATTTGTACATAGGTATTACATTCCTAGGAAATGAATCCCAGGATTTTCCCTCCTGTGTGTTTTCGTCTTGCTTCTTCATGGTCCATGATGCCAGCCAAGGTTGTCAGTACAATGAAACCAAACTTACGTGATGGGAGCAAATTATTCTGCCATTTTTCTAGATCTTTGAGTTGTACATCGAATCTGGGGCTGATCACTCCACACTTGTTTAACCTGCCTTTGAGGTTCACAACAATTTTCCCAGCTCTGTGATCATCAATGATTTCAAATTTGCCAGTGTAACCAGCAGAGAAAGATGGCAGAAAGAGCCTCAGGAGATATTTTTAACAGCAATTTTAATTTAATGTTACAATGAAGAAGGCTTTCAAATGTGTTTCCATAGTAACACTTGAGGATATTTTCATAAAGTTGTTATAAGTGATTTGGTAGTTCTACAAAGACAGATGTTTATGTATGGTAGGTAATCTGCTTGAGTTCTTATAGTTATGTCTGTGATTGTTGTATCTTACAGATGGAGAATATTAAATGTACAAATAAAATCTACAGAATTGTAACTAAACAAACAATAGAGTTTTAGATTATGCAGCTACATTAAAGACTGCTCATAGCCTTCATTTATTTTTTTCCAGATACTCACAAGTCTCCTAACACTTGAGAGTTAATTTTTTCATCAAATTATGGAATGCATCTTCCTCCGAAGGGTTTCCCCCCCTCTGCAAAGCTAATATGACAATCACTGAGTCTCCTTATAATCATTGGCTCTTTAGAAAGAGTTGACAGATGGTCAAAACTATTCGTTTAGGTCATTGTTTATAAAACTCATTTTATAATGACTGAGCTGTCTATACACATAATCTCCACAGACAGATATCATCTAGTTGAACATACTACCCATCTTTGCTTTGTCTTTAAACCAAGCTGAGAAATGTTCTGAACTTTTTTTAAAAATAACCGTATTTTGGAAAAAACATAAACTGAGGAAAAGCTAGTTTTCCTTTTGCATTGTAAAATGGAGCTTTGCTTTCTTTGAACTCAATGATTTAAAATAATTGTGATTATGAGGTTTTTTTGGTTGGTCGGTATTTGGAAATATCTTTTACTCTTGTTAAACAATTGGTCATTTATTGCAGAAATAGTTTATAGATATGGATTAATTGTCATTTATTGACAGATTTTTATTTTTTAATAGGAACTATTCTGGGTGAAGGCCAAGCAGTCAGATCTTTGCCGTGTTCCCCCCAATCAAAATAACTTTCCTTTTGTTTATTTTATGCAAAAGAGATCATTCAAATATTTTATTTCAAAAGTAGGGAGGAATTCTTGGGCCGGCCTGCTGGTGCACTTGGTTGAGTGCGGCGCTTGGGAGCGCAGCGGTGCTCCCGCCGAGGGTTCGGATCCCATATAGAGACCTGCTGGTGCACTTGGTTGAGTGCGGCGCTTGGGAGCGCAGCGGCGCTCCCGCCGAGGGTTCGGATCCCATATAGAGACTGGTCCGCTCACTGGCTGAGCGCAGTGCGGGCGTGACACCGAGGGTTGCGATCCTGTTGCCGGTCGCGGTACAGGCACGACACCGAGGGTTGTGATCCCGTTACTGGTCACGAAAAAAGAAAAAAGGAAAAAAAAAAAAAAAAAGTAGGGAGGAAAACTTTACTGAATAAAAAAATCTTCTATTACTGTTTGAAAGACACTGCTCTCAAACATAGTACAATTGATGTGATTAGTCCTTAGATCTTAAGAATCATGGTTTTATTAGAGAATATAAAGACTCTGAAAGACTTATTAGTAAAATGATATGGGACCACCTTATAGAAGTGCCAGTGTACTAAGACATAAAATAACATTCTCAGTCTGTTTTTTGTGTTGTTTAATTAGGGTGACTTAAAGATACAGATTCATTTTCTGAAACTGATACTTTCTTTTAGTTTCTTTTTCTAATTCTGATATAATATTAGATAAAATTATAAATGAATTCTTAGAAACTAAAACGTTTCTAAGGTCACAGTTGACAAGTTATTTCCATGTTTTCTCATCTAGTAGAACATGTTGAAGGATGCAGAGAGACAGCCTTTATTTCATGAAATAAGCATTTACTGCATAGTGTGTGCCAATTATAATGCTAAATGCTGAGAAAATGGTTCCTGTACCTGTGGAACTTAAAATTTGTGAGCCAGTTTTTTAAGAATAAAAGAACTTCTCTTAACCTGTTTTTTTCTAGCCTAATTCTGGTGAACTGGATCCTTTATATGTCGTAGAAGTACTTCTGCGCTGTAGCAAAGAGAGCTTGAAAAATTCAGCTACTGAGGCTGCAAAACCAGCTAAACCTGACGAGAAAGGAGAGATGCAGGTTTGTACTTTACTTTTCACCTTCAGATTTCAGTTATTTTGTGAATTATTTATAATCACTAGAGTTTCTGAATGTGATTATATGAACATCATACTATCATTTCTAAATTAGAAATTTCCAAGGTATTTGAAGTATATTATTAAAGCCATCTAAAATATCAGTCAAATAATTAATGAGACTTCTGTTTTCTTTTTCTTTTATCAAACTATGACAAGGTAAATAATGACAGAGTGAAAGATGAAGAGAATTTAATAATTTAAATTCCAAATGAAGTTGGATTTTACTAGGGCTATAAATATTTTTGTTATCATTGCTGTGACTGAATGATTTTACAGTTTGCATTCATCCATGCTGTTTATTTTATTCCCATGGAAATAGAGATGATCCCTGACTTAATGATGGTTTGACTTAAGATTTTTTTTACTTTATGATAATGTGAAAGCAAGTACACATTCAGTAGAATGTCAGTAAATTACATGAGATATTGAACACTTTGTTATAAAATAGGCTTCGTGTTAGATGATTTTGCCAAACCGTAGGCTAATGTAAGTGTTATGAGCACATTTAACATAGGCTAGGATAAATTATGATGTTTGGTAACTTAGTTGTAGCTGTATTAAATGAATTTTCAACTTATGATATTTTCAATTTCTGATGGGTTTATCAGTACATAATCCCATCACAAGTCCAGGAGCATCTGTAATGATTGAAGCATTAGTATGATAATAAAAATTCTACCCAAATTTTAGTTAAAATCATTCAATTTACATGTACTTCTAATTAAATGTAAAGTATTTGATTTGCCACATGAGATGCCCATATTTCCTGAATGTCTTCTGTTTTTATATTGGTATAAATAAAATAATTGTTGGTAATATGTTACTGCAGAGATTCCAGTTATCTGTTGAAGTCTAATATCATAGTGGACTTTATCGTTTTTAAACATTGCCCTAAATGTGTGGCATATTGGGTACATCTTTTAGGAAATGTCATTGTAGTAATATTTGTTTTAATAAGCTTGGTTTGTAGAAAGTAAAATCTGCCACTACAGTAGCATAGACTGTTTCTGGATCAAAAAATCATTATGGCATTCAGAGTTTGCAAAACTTAAAATGACAGTTCTTTACTAATAAGCATTTTTAAATGATGATTTAAATGTTTATATGTAATTCTGAATATTACCTTTGCTTTGGTCTCTGTTCTGCGATCTTCTAATTTGTTCTGCAGAATTCTACCACCAAGTGAAACTTGTGGGATTTTTTCCCCTTTTATTTTACCAGTTGACTGCCTAACTATAAATGAGGCTAAAACTCCCACAATTCATCACAATTTATTGTGTCCAAAGGGACCTTAGAAGTTATTGCAACTTGGAATAGCAAATGTATGGCACACATTTCAACATTCTCCTTTTCTCATAGCAGACATTGATAATAAGTCATGGCATTCTTTCACACTGAAAGCTGAAACTCTTCCAAGAAAATATGGGCAGCCATGGCTAGTTAATTGGAGTTAGCATTTTAGGTGAAACCTCTTTTCTGTCTGTCTGTGTTCTAGGCCCAAGTTTTATTAAGCCTAGCTGCTGTGCCTGTTTTATTTAACGATACCAAGAAGCTTTACAATTTTTAATGATCATGATTTGGTTCAGTTCAGTAAACAACCTCTCCATGGAAGCCTTTACTGAACCCTGGGCAAACTGAGGGACTCTCCTCTGCTCCTGTAGATTTTTTATTCTGTTTATTTTGGTCTGGCATTAGGGGATGTGTTAACAAGAATTTTACACATAGTTTATGACTTCTAGGGGATTGTAGCTCAATGGGGGAGCATTTTGTGCTTAAAAAGCTAAGCAAACATCAAGGATGGGTCCTCTGACGGCCCACGGTGGGGAATTAGTAAAGAAGGCCTTACAATGGAAGTAGTGAGATTTGAACAAACTTGTAGGGATGTGAGAACTTTTTCAGATAAAAATTGCATTCCCAACTCTCCTAAATCAAGATACCAGTAGTTGATATGAAATAAGATTTAGCAGTTTTGGCAATTGCGAAGTTTGCACTGAGGCTGTACTCTAATAAGACAGCCTGAAATCAGATTTCTTTTGGATAAACTTTCAACATATTTAAAGTAGCTAATTTAAACTGTTTGTCTAGTAAGTCCAATATCGGCTTCCTCAGGGACAGTTTCCATTAACTGCTGCTTTTCTGTGTGTATGGGTCATACTTTGTTGTTTCTTTACTTGTCTTGTAATTTTTTTGTTGAAAACTGGACATTTTAAATAATATATTATGCAACTCTGGAAATCAGATTTTCCCCACTTGCCCAGTGTTTATCCTTTTTGCTATTTGTTGTAGTTTTTTGTTTAGTTACTTTTCTGAATTGTAAGTCTGTATTTGTGTGTGTGTGTGTGTGTGTGTGTGTGTGTGTGTGTGTGTGTGTGTGTGTGTGTGTGTGTGTGTGTGTGTGTGTGGCCACTGAGGTCTCTGCTTGGTTAATTAAACAGTCAGCTAATAATCTTACAGAGACTTCCTTAAATGCCTGCAACCATTAAGTTCCCCAGTCTTTGTTTCTGTGCTGTGTGCATATTGCAGAGGGCCTTCAGTACTCAGCCAGGCAGTTAATAACATTACCTTAGCCTTCACTTTCCTGGACCTGTAGTCTCATAATCAAACAGAGGCAAGAGTTTAGGGCCTTTTCAGGTCTTTCTTGAGTGTGCACAGAGCCCTATGCAAGCTTGTGGCCTTCTAGATTTCCAGGAATATGTGGAAACTTAGAAAACTCCCCATGGATTGTTTTTCAGCTGTTTGGCTAAGAACAAGGGTAGTATCAAATTCCCCATGGACCTCTTACTTCACAGCTTTTCCTTTTTAGCTTCTTGGTTAACCTGTTGTTTGTCCCACCTGTTGTCATCCACCACCTTAGGCAGCCTTGATGTTAAACAATTGCCTCTTATTATTTTCGACAAACACCCTCAGGAAAAAGGTTGTTTGTACTGGGCGAGTTCTGAGTCAGGTCAGATAAAGACAGCCTTGTGAATGGAGTCTTCCAGGGAACCACCAGACAGATGAAATAATGGCAGTTCTCTGGGAATAGGGCTTTGAAGTAGTTCTACCCCGATTTTGTCCCTTCCAGTGGCTGCCAGATGATTGCAGCTGTGATTGCAGGCTGTTGGTTTTCAAGCTACTGTGGAGCTGGGGAGAGAGGGAGGGACTAGGGTAAGTTAAAACTGCCACAGTGCTTGCTGTTCTTACTGAAAGTCAGCCATTTTTCTTTAATACATTCATTTTGGATTGCTGCAAGCCTTTAGTTAATTTTCAGAATTCTGAGGAAGTTGATTTTGACAATATTTGCCTGTGTTGTCATTGTTTTTATGGAAAAGAGGAGTTTTGGAGGTACTTGCTTCACCATTCTCTTGGATAAACTTAGAGAATACATGTAGTACATTCAATAGATTATCCTATTAGTCAGCTTTTAAATTAGATCAAGACACAAATTCAATTTTTTAAATCTAAAATTTAGTCAATAACACTTTATTTTTTATTCTCTGCCTGACGATTAAAATTCAGTTGCTTCAAAAAACAACTAGCTTGTTTGAGTGAAAAATTTGAAAACCGTATTTTGTTTTAGCTAATGGTCTTGAAGAAATTATATTGCTCAAAACTCATTTAGAATGTATTGACAAAACTTACTGACTTGGGCTGGCCAGTTAGCTCAGTTTGTTAGAGAGCAGTGTTATAACACCAAGGTCAAGGGTTCAGATCCCCGTACAGGCCAGCTGCCAAAAACAAAACAAAACAGACAAAAAATTAATTGACTTCTTCTGTTATCTACCATATCATTTGCTTATTTAGAAGGAACCTTGGCAGACTTGCAAGGATCCAAAAGTTCTAAGGATAAAAATACTTTTTGCTATTCTGACAAGTTTCCAATGATTGCCCACATGGTTCTTCAGATTTATATAGACCAGTGTTGCATCATGATGCTCCTGAATTCTCCGCTGCTTTGTAAAGATAATTAGGTTTAGAAAATTGAATAAACTACTATATGCAGATATTATATGTCTTTAGATCTCTGTGAATGTAGAGATTTACAGTTTCATGGCAACTGTTAATTTGGTTTCTAAGTATTTAACCTCTCATTTATAAAACTTCGGTGTTTCTAATTAGGGGAGTCTTTGGATCTCCCTCTCCTGTACTTTACAAGATACTTGTAGGAGAGCCTTTGTAGTCTCTTTCCTGTCATTAATGTGAGAGTTTGCTGACCATTTCTTGGAGGAGTTTGTTAAGGGAGGCACCCTTAGAATCGGACAGTTTCTGTCTTCCTCCTGAATTAAGTCTTCACCGAATAGTTTTCTTCTGTTTTGAAGGAAATTTTCAGGTACCTGTATATATTGAATTCAGCTGCAAGTACGTAAAACATATTCTTGCTCTCTGAAGCCAAGTGAAGTATATTTAATTTTACTGCCATTTTAGATTATGTACATGTACCTAAGTGTAGAAAAATTGCATGTTTCCTTTTTCTGGATTTGGCTACCTGGCACATTGTTGACAGTTTTTCATATCCTGAGTCTTCTCTTTCCATTCAAACAGTGCGTCTAGGATTTGCATAAGTCACAAACTGGTGGTTCAAAGCAGCTCGTAAAATGTCTTCTTTAAAAATGAATTAAATAGTTTGAGAATAAAAAATAAACATGATAGTAAAGGATTAGAACCATGTAAAAATAAAATAGTCCATGAGTCCATACAGAGAGAGAATGTAGAAGGAATGGTGACATTAGAAAAGTGACCATTAGGCAAATAATAACTGACTCAGGCAAGAATCATTCATGGGTTTTGAAACTGAGTTGAAAGTTTAATGAAGAATAGGATATTTACACAATCTCTAAAGGATCCCCCCATAAGTTTCTTGTTAATTGTGAAGGGGAAAATAGTAATTTTACAGTAGAGAATTCTAGCAGATGCCACCTTTATGAAGTGACCAAAGTTATTACCACTAATAATGTTGACCAGTGGACTGAGAAGAAAACATGACTTCTGCCAAAAATGCAAAAGTAGACTGTATTAGATGAAATTATATTGCTGTTAAATTTTTAGGATCTTGTAATATTGTGGCTACTCAGGAGAATGTGCTGTTTTTAAGATACATGCTTTTAAGATATGTGTATGAGGGGGGTCTTCAAAAAGGTCATGAAAGATTTGTGTTATCTTTTAAGCCTGTTTTTCTACAAAACAGTGCCTTCATGTTTGCTGGTGAAATGAAGTGACATGTTATCTCCAACTTAATTTCAAATGATTGAAAAAGGAAGAGGAGGAGAAAGGAAGGCAGGAAGAAAGAAAAGGCATAGCCTTTGGCAAACTATTAACAATTCGAAAAATCGCTGAGAAAATACAGTGAATAATTCATAGTATTATTCAGTAGTTTTCAAACAGAAAGTTGGCTAAAATGTTGTTCTTCAGGGGAAAAAAGCTAACTTTTTTAAAGGCTAGGAAATAGGAAAAATGTAAATTAATTTTCAGATTATCAGAGTCAGGACTTTGAAATAATCTGGATTTTTGGCTTTAAAAAAGAAAGCTTGAGGAACACTAGTACTGCATTTCTGCCTGGCCCAATTATAGCTGTAATTTTTAAACAGTGCATGCTGTCTTAAGTTTTTTAGTCTGCCATTTACTAACACTGAACAAATATTACCTACTGAGGAACACTAGTACTGCATTTCTGCCTGGCCCAATTATAGCTGTAATTTTTAAATAGTGCATGCTGTCTTAAGTTTTTTAGTCTGCCATTTACTAACACTGAACAAATATTACCTACTTTTTCTCTTTGGTATTTGAGTATATGACCTCTGATGTTTTAGCATTGTTAATGCAGATTTGTTGACACTTGTTGAACATTTATTATACTAAATAACTTTTTTAAAGTGTTGTAGGCACTAATTTAAGTGTCTTACATACATTGTCTTAATTTGCACCAAAGTTTGATGAAATAGATATAATTTTATCCCGTTTTTATGAATGAGGAAATCGAAACCTAGAAAGTTTAGATATTTTGTTCAAGGTCACACAACTAGCTGAAGACTGAATGCAAATCCAAACATAGGTAGTCTTGATTCTAGAACCTGCCTTCAACTGCTGTACCATTTTTGTTTGTTAAAATACTATGAATATATTTGTTATCAATAAGCCAGTGACAATTTTTCGTCAGTGATCAGTGTAAAAGTAGCCATGGGAGACGAATACACTGACAGATTTGGACTTTTGACAATATTAACCTCACCTCTGTATAGAGGCCCGCTGGATTCAAGAGCAATTTAAAGGAAGCAAAATAATATATTTGATGGTGAGGGTAGGGTTTATTGACAGGAGAAAGCTTGGAGGAAACTTTATAGATAGGTGTTCTTAAAGACTATGTCTAATGGAAATTTCCCTTTTCTCTGCTTGAAATACTTTTTTCATCTCTTCTTCTGGACTACCCAGAGCTTACATGAACCTTACTTGGCCATCTAAACCTGTTAAAGAGGAATCTTTCATCCTCCTGTAGCATTATAGTACTTTTATGTATTCAAAAAGTGCTAAATACTGAGGACACAAAAATGAATCGCGTATGGATTCTGTATTGAGGGGATCTCTTATTTTTATGTACCATGTTATTAAGAGGTTTGAATTTGTTTTTACTTTCTAAATATAGTCTCTACTAAGATATGTTTCATTGGTGGGGGGCAGCTCCACTATGATTATCATCGACTTATACCTGTCACATCCTGTCACATATTATCAATGTAGCTTCCTTTCGAGGTTCCAAGTTTAGGAAATGGCAGAATTGAAAATGTGCAATTTTAATTGTAATGTTATATAACTTTTTGTTCGTAGGTTGTCCCAGTTTTGGTGCATCTCCTATCTGCTATCAGCAGTGTTAGGCTTTATATTCCTAAAGACCTTCGGCCAGTGGACAATAGACAGAGTGTTTTAAAATCCATACAGGTATGCATATTAATTGTATAAATTAAATATGAATTTTATATAAATATAAGCAGGATTTATAAAAAGGAAACTGAAATGCTTTTAAGTATATTGCTTTCTTTCAGAAAAACTGTAAACACTACCAATAGTGGCAATTATTTTTTATAAAAATAGTGGCAGGAGATCTACATATAGATTTGTCCTGTCTTTGAATCCACCAACAAAGCGAGTTACTAAAGGAAGCTTCAGAAAGGAAAACTGTGGACCATTGATCTTCACTACTTTATTCTAAATATTTTTTGCTTTGTTCATTATGAATGAAAATAATTGTAGACTGTGTTAAAAGTGTTATGTATAAAATCATATGCCAGGACTTCTAACTTTCTTGAGTGTAGTTAATAAATGGATGAAATACTTTTGTTTTCAATAGGAAAAATTAAGACTTTCTAGAAAATTTAGTTTTCCTGTAGAAGAAAGAAGTGACTTTAACAAAGTTATTTAGTCAGTAAACATTTGAATAGTACTTCCTATGTAGTAAAGGCTCTGAACTAGAATCTAAGAAAACAAAGATAAACAAGTTGCTTTCAGTGTACAGTAGGAATTTTTAAGCTCTGGTCTGTAGGTGGGCTTCTTGAAATGAATGATTCTCTTGACAGATTAACAAAATTTTTATGTAGATGTGGACATCTTTCCAAAAAACCACTCCTAAAAAGCTTAAAAACTATTGGTCTGGTGGTAAATAAATATATCTTATAAGTGCATTGAAGTGTAAAGTCACACTGAAATTATTTTTCTTTATTTTCAAAGAAGTGGCACGGTTATGAACAGAAATACACATTGGTCATTATTTAGCATAAATAATGCCATCATTCTGAAAAAATTGATTAGTTTATGTTTCTGAATTAGGTCAGTTTTCATTTTGCTGAGTTTAAACTTAAATTGAAATGAATTTTTCTTGAAGTCTGTTGGCAAATTTCAGGCTTTTCTTTATTGTCCTAAACATCACTGTGCTATATCCATGATGAGATTTCATCATTGACATTAACTTTAGCAATAACCTAACTGAGTCTCAGTTTTCCCTCATTTTAACATGGTTAGACTGTTGTTTTCTTTGATCCTTTGTAGACATTTAAATCTATCACCACATATTGAGAAACCAGAAGAGGAAGAATCGGGGAAATGAGCCCGCTAACAGAACCTTTCACTTAATGACTGAAGATTTCCTTTTTGCTATTTAATTGTACCTTTTTAAGCTTTTAAAAACTACAATTATAATGTTTTTTTCTGTTTTTGAACTTCATGCCTGTGACTCAGTTTCTTGATATATAAAAGTTGCCCAGGTTGGTCTGTAAGATTCTGTGATTTTGTACTGACGTAGTCCCCTTTGAGTAGGGCAGATATATGTCTGGAAACTATTATGTGCACATAACAAAGATACCAGTTTCTTAAAACAGCTGGCATTATTGGCTTATTTAGGACAGCAGTGTTCAATTTTCATGTCTTTTACATTTGTGTTTTTTTGTTTTTGTTTTTGAATTCTTAACTAGCTGAGTCCTATCTTGCCTTTAAGGCCTATTGAAGACCCTGAAAATCTCCCAGAGCGATGCCAGCATATAGTGAGCTATCCCTTCTCTGAACTCAGATGCTCATTATATTTAGCATGTAATCATGTTTTTAAAAAAGTTAACAGAAGGGATCAGGACACTTTAAAAAGTTTATATCTTCCAGTTCAGAAGTGTCCTCCCTAGGAATCAACCCCGAAGAAATAATCTGAAGATTTAAAGCAATTTACACATACAAAGCGTTTGATACAGAACTATTTATGATGTCAAGAAATTACAGTAACCTAAATATATGATTATTGGTTTATCCATACATTGTGTCACATCCAGAACTATCAAACTGTGCAGTACTAGACTTGTTAGTAAATTATTATACATCCCTATGTCAGTAAATTATAGTACAGCAGTTTAACGGTTTATCCATACATTGTGTCACATCCAGAACTATCAAACTGTGCAGTGCTAGACTTGTTAGTAAATTATTATACATCCCTATGTCAGTAAATTATAGTACAGCAGTTTAAAAGGAGTTTTCAAAAACAAATGTGATGGGAAAATGTCCTACAATTTAATTGGAAAAAAGACAAAATTACATGAATAGCATTCTTTTTATTTTTATGTTCATGTGTGAAGGAAAAACAAAAGGAAATACAGATTTGGTCTCACTAATTTTGTCTATAAGATAAAAAATGAATTTTACATATTTTGTTTCAGGAAGTTCAGAGACGTTTTCCCGATGGTGTTCCCTTATTAGATCCTATTGATGATATGGGCATTCAAGATCAAGGGCTGAAAAAAGTCATTCAGAAAGTAGAGGCTTTTGAACATCGCATGTATTCTCATCCACTTCACAATGATCCAAATTTGGAAACTGTGTATACACTTTGTGAAAAAAAAGCACAGGTATGGCAGAAACTTAGTTTTTGTAGTAGGATTCTGTGTCTTTCACTAAATGATTATGTATTTCTCATTTTCTTATCCTATTGGTTTTATCACCTAAAACAGGAAAATGTCTCTTTTAAATAAACCATCAAGTCTGTAACCTGTCAACTCTTATCAGCAAGGCAAGATGAAGTTTGCTATAGACTGGTATTTGATATACGGGGGCGGGGGGTTCTTAGATTTTTTTAAAAATTGAGATATAATTTATATAGCATAATATTTTAAAGTGTCCAATTCAGTGGTTTTTAGTACTTTGACAGATATGTGTACCCATCTCCACTAATTCCAGAATATTTTTATCACCCACAAAAGAAACTTTATATGCATTAGCAGTCACTCTGTTTCCCCCACCCTCTAGCCCTGGCAACCACAAATATACTTTCTGTCCATATGGATTTGCCTATTCTAGACATTTCTTATATAGAGAATCATATAATATGTGGCCTTGTGTCCACCTTCTTTCACTTAGCATAAAGTCTTCAAGGTTCATCCATATTGTAGCATGAATCAGTACTTTATATCCCTTTTATGGCTGAATAATATTCCATCGTGTAGATGTACCTTATTTTATTTACCTATTCATCAGTTGATGGACGTTTATTTTTTTCCTACTCTTTAGCTATCATGAATAATGTTGCTGTGAACATTTGTGTACAAGTTTTTGTGTGAACGTGTTTTTATTTCCTTTGAGTGGAATTGTATAGAATTGCTGGATCATATGGTTATCTCTTTGTTTTAACTTTTTTGAGAGACTGCCAAACTGTTTTCCCACCAGCAGTTCATGAGAGCTCCAATTTCTCCATGTCCTTGAAAATATGTGTTAACTGTCTGTGTTTTTTATTATAGCCATTCTAGGAGTGTCAAGTGGTAGTAGTTCAGCTTCTTACAGTGTTAGCTATAATATCTAACCATTCTGAATAATGAATTTAGTAAAAGCTTTTTGAAGTGTACATGTTCCTTTCCACTGTCCACTCCTCTTTAAAATTTTTTATACTACACAAGTCTCATTTCCACCATGAAACTTAGAATTCCTTGCTATTAATACTTTTTCAACTTTTATCACTTACCACTTTTATCAAAACATTTGTCCTTCTGTCTCACAAACTAGATTTTAAGCTTCTTAGAAACAGATGTTTCATTTTAGCTTATTTGCACTCTCCTATGATGATTCATCTTTATAAAATAGATGCCTGGTATTTGTTGAATAAATACATAAGTAGAAACTTCCTTAGCTTAATAAAGTAATATGTTTAGTTCATAGTTTTAAAATACTCTCCCTTTCTAGCTCTTCGTGAGCTAACATCACTTGGCCCTGCACTATGTGGAATATGGTGGCTGCATGCTCAGTGAATACATATTACACCATGCTGTGGCCCATTATGAAGTGCTGTTAGGCCCTCTCCAGGAATCTCACCAGGTATTTCTCAAGATGAGGAAACTGAGGCATAAAAAGCTTTAGTTGCTTTCAAAAATATATGCAGTTGTGGTCCTGGCCTTCTCATCTCTCACCAGGTGGTATGAAACCTCAGGGAGAAACATCTGAGCTGCTCAATATATCAAGGAAGGCCTTAGTGTCTGCCTGGGGACTGGCTAAATACATTTGATATGAAGACTCTGTAACAATATGGAAGAATACTTACCTGTGAGTGTTAAAAAAGGATCAAAAATTTATGTGGACTATGATTTCAATTTAGCAAAAATAAAAACATGCACCAGAAAAACCTTAAGTGGTTGTTTTACGACAATGAAGTTATAGTAAGCCATTTTATCCTCCACCTTTGTCTGTATTGTGCTTATATTTCTTTTTTTAATAAGAAAAATAGGACTTAACAGTTTAGGAAAAAAACAAGTCTTTTTTTTTTTTTTGTCTTTTTTTGTGTCCGGCAACGGACCGCAACCCTCAGTGTCGCGCCCGTACTGGACCGGGACCGGCAACGGGATCGCAACCCTCGGTGCTGCGCCCGCCCCTCGCTCAGCCAGTGAGCGGGAACCGGTCTGTATGTGGGATCCGAACCCTCGGCGGGAGCGCCGCCACACTTCCTAAGCAGCGCACTGTAGCAGTGCGCCACCGGGCCGGCCCCGGAAAAAACAAGTCTTTTTATGGCTTCCCAGTGACCACACCCCTTAGCCCTGCCTAAAATGCTTTCAAAATCTGGCCACTTAGCTGGCAGCATTTTAAGTATTCATACCTCTGACCCAGTTTTCCCACTTCTAGAAATTGAGAGTACAAAACAAGGAAAAAGCAAATGGTTATAAGCAAACCTCAGTGCTCTTCAGTAGGGAATTATAAGTGAATTATGCCAATTCATGTAATGAAAGTTAACATGGCCATTAAAAAGAATGAGGTAGATTTATATGTACTCTTTGGAAAAGAAGTCTTAATGTATTAAGTGGAAAAGGAAGCTGGTGTCTCTTTTGTGGGGGGAAAGCCCCTATACGTATGTATACATGCATTTACAGACATTTGTATCTGTGTTCTTTTGTAAATGTGTAGGAAAAGATCTAGCACAGCATTGTCCAATGCAAGCCACATACATAATTTAAAATTTTTGAATAGTGACATTAAAGTGAAAAGAAAGAAGTGGGATGAATTTTAATATTTTTATTTAACCCAGTATATCCAAAATATCAACATTTTCATATTTAAAATATAAAAATTAGTGAGGAAAAAACTTAAGTATTGGACTCTCTTCTTGTAAGCTTTATAACCCTCACAGTACATACCACAGTGTTCTGTTCTGCTCTTATAGGCATACTCAGTCAAAGAAACTCTAGAAAACAGTGTTGTTGTTTTTTTCTGATAGGCCTGATGAGTCATGCTTAGAGTTGTCTAGAATGGAAAGCATTACTTCCTATGACAAGGTATTCCTATGACAACACATCTGTTCATTGAAATATAAATAATCACTAAGAGCTTATATTCTAGAGTCTGATAGCCTGCGTTTGAACCCTATCTTTATCACTCATTAGCTCTCTGATCTTGGCCAGTTTATTTAGTAATCTGTCTATGCCTCAGTTTTCTCATCTGTAAAATGCAGATTTTAGGATTGCTATAAGAATTAAATGAAATAATGTAAAGCCCTAGAAATAGGGTATATAGGTATTCTCTAAATAAATATCAGTTGCTGATCACTTTTATCATTTTTCTTTCTCAGTTGAAGCTTAATAAACAGTCTGCAAAACTCCAGAATCTTTGAATTTAAACTTCTCAGAACTTTTCTTTCTGTCAGTATTTTTCTGAACTTAAAGCCTCCATTTCAGGACACCATTGTTTTCTTGGTCTTGTACTACCATACTCTTGTCACAGTTAGAAAATATGTAATATTTACTGATTAACTGAATTTTAAAACTCTTCCACACTAAAGGATGACCTCAAAATACATTTTCATTTTCAGCTTTTATCTCTGTGTATTGAACAAAGGCCTATTGTCTTTGCTAAAATCATTTCCAGCTTAGGCAAGTTTGTAAAATAATTTGAAAGCAAAGAGAAGGAATACTTTTCAGGGCATCATGGGGAAAATACAGGTAGTCAAGAAAAAATATTCCTATACCCTCATCTTCTTTACCCTGTTTTCTAAACTACCCGCTAGTCCCTAAAGATGAAAAGCTGGAGCTGCTGGGATTGGTACTTTAGGAGCTTGATTAATTGTCCAATGAATCGTATCTTGAGAGAGCCCATCTTAATTCACCACTGACTTTTTCTACCTCCTCTAGCCTACCTTGTCTAGCTCCATGGCTATCCAGTTCATTCTTCTCCTTCTAGCCCTTCCTCCTTACCCCTCCTCATTTAAGTAAGAGCCATGCTCTATTCCCCAACTTAAGCTTTTTACAATTCCTGTCATCTCCCTGCTCTGCCTCAAATTTTCAAATGGACATGTTACATTTTCCGTGTACCTAACATTTTAGCTAGTATGTAATAACTTTTCAGATACATTATTACTCTTGTGCAATATCCTCGTAACAAAATCTTCTTGAAATATCCTGTGCAAGAAGCTCCTATATTCCACTCCCACCAAATCCTCCCCTCCCCTGCAACGTTGAAGCTTTAATAGAGAGGTATGTTGTAAGGTACAATTATAAAATATTTTTTGTTTTATTTCATGAGTAAATCTCATTTTACATTGTTTTATTATTGAACTTTTAAAATACTTTGACATGCCTTAGATTGCAATAGATATTAAATCTGCAAAGAGGGAACTAAAGAAAGCAAGAACTGTCCTACAAATGGATGAACTCAAATGTCGCAAACGTGTTTTAAGAAGGTTGGGATTTGCTACTTCATCTGATGTCATAGAGATGAAAGGACGAGTGGCGTGTGAGATAAGCAGGTAAAATCTGGTTGTTCTTCTCAAATTTGATTTTTAAAAGGGATACTACTTTTAAAGTGAGAGCTATTAATCTTTAAAAAAAAGAACTGTCTTGGGCCGAGCCCGTGGCGCACTCGGGAGAGTGTGGCGCTGGGAGCGCAGTAGTGCTCCCGCCGTGGGTTTGGATCCTATATAGGGATGACCGGTGCGCTCACAGTGCTCACTGGCTGAGCGCGGTGCGACCGGTCTCAAAAAGGACAAGGAAAAAGAAAAAAAAAAAAAAGAACTGCCTTAAAAATGTAAAGTTTATGCAATACCTTCCACATTAAATACAGTTTTAGACCATGAAATTGAGAAATTAGAAAAATTTCTTGCATCTCAGTGATTAACACAAGCATCCCTAGTATTGGGTGCATTTCCCAATACTATTGTATTGTGGGATTTTTACATAATCTTAGTTTATACACAATTTTGTATACTTTTTTTACACCTTTTTATATTTTCCTACCTTAAAACTTAGTCTAGTAACTTAGTCTTTTACATGTATAGCAGATTATACTGAAGTTTTGGCCTAACAGTAGGATATTAGAACAGAGCATATTATAGGCCACAGCTTAAAATTGGATATAAGATATTTTCTGTTATGGTAATCTTTTGCCACATTACAAATGACCAGAAAACTAAATGATTTAAAACAACAGGTATTTTATTCTCTCATGGTTTCTGTGAGTCAGAAATTCAGGAAAGTCTCAGACAGTTCTGGCTCAGGGTTTCCTGTGATTGCCATCAAGCAGGTTAATTAAGCTGCATCAGGAGGAATCTGAAGCAGTTGGGGAATGTTAGGATCTCTCTCTCTCTCTCTCTCTCTCTCTCTCTCTCTCTCTCCCTTTGTGTGTGTGTGTGTGTGCGTGTGTATATGCGTGTGCCCAGTCAGGGCCCTTGCAGCCAGATTTTTCTCCTTTAGGCTCATCTTTACCCATAGCTCCCAGCTCCACTCCACATGGATCCCAGGGAATCCCAGAAACCTAA